TGAATTTATACATATTTCTTTCTCTACTTTAGTTGTTTTTTGCTTTAACTGCTTGCAGATGAAGAGGCTTTTCTATCAAGGAAGTGTAAACATGTGGTCTTGTGATTATGAGTGACATATTATGCGAGTCATCTTATTTTAATTATATTTAGTGCAATCACTTTTACAGATTTAGCATGCCAAATCTGAGGTGGTGTAATCCATATCTGCTTTGTTACACATAACATTAGCAAAGTTCTTTTTAAAACCTATTGCGTATAGCTATGAAACCATAATCGGTGCCGATTAAGACTATCTGCATGATTAATGGACATGAACCCATCCATATTCTTTTCCAGTCTTCTACTGATGACTATAAATCAGTTGCATTTTGTATTTTTTATTTTTTTTTAGTTTTTATTGGGTGTGGATGAAAAAGAGGACAATTAAACCCCCAGCATTTGGCTTTCCTTTTCAATTCTTCTGTTATTAAAGAAGGATGCAGTCCTATTTTTTTTCCTGTAATTACTCCACACCCTATCAAATGACTGACAGTGGGATAATGCATTCCAATGAATATTTGCTCAAACAGTTTCTACCCTAAGGCATGCGGGAAAACAAACAGTTCCACATCTAAATAAAAAAAAAACAACACTTTGATTAATATTTGACTTCTCAGTGTTATAAATATCTTCCATGATTGCTATGCAGCAAAAAAGCAATAAAAACACCCTAAACAATCCCTTGATTGATGAAGTGGAAATTCATATTTATTTTAAGCAGCTTCTTTTCTAACTTCCAGCATCATCTAGCTGTTCTGAACTGCTGAAGCTAGCATATACAAATGTGGGAAAAATTGGTGCCCCTGGTTTAAAGAGAGAAAAAATAATTTGAATCTGACAAAATTAATGATAAATAAAACTTCTATGAAAATGAAAATCAGCTTTTTAAAAAATACTTTAACAGAACGAGTGCAAAAAATAAACTTGTGAAACAGACCTGGACAAAAATGTTCTTGGGCAGACCAATTTACATAACTGCATATAGATCAACTGTTGGATAATGTCTCACACCGCATGCATGAAGCTGTTACTGAACTGGGAAGCTACTGCAGTGACAGACTGCTGCACCCTAATTGCACCAGGGAGCGTTATCACAGATCCTTCCTCCCAGCAGCTGTAAGACTTTATAACCACCACTGTTCCCAACAACCTCAATAAGTTGTTACCTTCATGCTAATTTTTGATAAGTTTCTGTCTTAGTCGGTTAAATACTGTAACATGCTGTTGTCATTTTTTGCACATCTCTGGTGTTGCTGCCATTTTTCACATTTCCATCACTGTAAAAATGCCCACAGCTGTTTTTTTTTTAATGCTCCAAATACAGAGTTTTATATTGTAAACTTTAGAGTATAATACTCTATTTTAATTTCCTACCTGTTATTTTTATACACTTTTCTAAGGTCCACATTGTGTGACCACTTCTACTATAATCTTTTGATGCTGTAACACCACAATTTTCCCACTGTGGGACAATAAAGGGATTATCTATTCTATTCTATTTGGCTTTTAGTGCATGTTTCTCATTGTGAAATCACTGGTGGGGTAACACTTCCTGCCATATTAATCATCACCTTTTTGTGAGTAACCAGCCTCTGCTTAAACTGCCATCATGCAAACATGTTGCCCCACTTGTTACCACACAGTGATTGTCAGCCGACTTAAAAAACAGCCTACAATTTTCTTATAGAAGTCACGTTTTTTTTGCACAGATCTGGTGTTGCTGGTATTTTTCCACATATCCATTACTGTAAAAACGTCCACAGCTGTTATTGATTGTATTATATTGTATTTTTTTTTACACTTTTCTAAAGTGCTCAGTGTGTGACCACTTCTACTATAACCTTTGCTGCTGTAAACACCACAATTTCCCCATATTGGGACAAAGTGTTTTATTTTATTCTATTCTAACTGCAAAATAAAATTAATTTATGAAAATGTTTTACAGCTTCAGGTGTAAACTGGCTTAGTAGCCATATGCTCATGGTGAAGTATTTACAAGCTATTAACTGTCGAAATGAAAGCAGTGGCTTCTTTATCGCAGCCGCCACCTTTCAACAAGCTCTTATTTATTAGAGTGGTTTGGAGGACAGGAATCTGACAGCAGCAAAGGCTCCCTGAAAAGTGCCAAGTCTTCCTCCTTTAATGACACATTGAGATTCCTGAGAAGCAAACAAAGGCAAAGAAAAGAACAACGGTAAACCTTGCTGCCAGAACACGACTCCACGGCATTAACATTCTTTTAGAAAAACCTTAGGATTGTAATAGTAGCCGTGGAGAGGAGGGTAGGTGGTGGTGTCAGTGAGTGCAGCAAGTGTTTATGGCTGTTTGGCATGAGTATATTCCTCTTGCTGAGTATTTAATCCCTTGCATATTTTACTTGCTTTGTAGCATAAAGGTTCAACTCAGAAAAAAAGTGTTTTTTTTCCCATCAGGAGTTGGAGAAAACCTTTCAAATAGGGAGGGCTCTCCTTTAACCCTCAACATGACATCAAACCTCAAAATCCTCTGATGGGACTATATTTAAAGGACCTTTGTGTGGGTTCAACCCTTGTACTTTAACTCAAGCTAAAAATAGGATTTTAAGGAGCTACATAACAGTCAGCATCTGCAACCTGTCTGCATTGTAACATTATTTGTTGCTAGAACAGCATCCTTCTTAATAAAGGAAAGATCCATTAACTGCACTGGAAAAACAATCTAGAAATAAATAAAATTAAGTGCATATAACCTTAATTTGAGTTGGTAAATGAGATAGTTTGCCAATGGAATGAGTATTTTTACTCTTCAAATAAGATAATTAGATAATATGCACCTAAAATAAGACAATGCAATTGTGTTTTCTTATTTTAAGTGTAAATTGTCTTGTTCCATTGGTAAAATGTTTCTTTTACCTCCTTTATCCAAGAAGAAATGCACTTATTTTAAGATAAAATGACTTATCTGGATTTCTATTTTTTCCAGTGTATGGACCAAACAAGCCAGGATGAGATCACGTCCTAAAACCCCAAGAGAGTCATGAAAACCCCTGGGCAAATACACCAATTGTTAGAGGGTCAAATCTTAAAAACCACAAGATGTAGTCATTTACTATGGAGGTAATGCATTAATAATTGGTTCAAGCTGAGGAGATGGTGATGCGGAAAGACTGGAAATATTTAAAACCTGTCTTTGCACAGATGTGACAGTGACTCAGGGGTTAAAAATCTATATCTTAATTTGTTTTTATAGCTTTTGGGGAATCTTTATACTGTTTCCCCAAATTTTATTAAGGTTCCATTGAAATCTGGGTCTATGCTGCCTTTCACAATTTTATTAAGTATTTCCACTTCTAGCAGAAATGATTCCAACTGTTTTTTTTTTTTTTTTTTTTTTTTTTGGTTCCTTCTCCTTGTAGGTTTAGAATTTAAGAAACCATATTTTGTAGACTGGGAGTATTTAATAAATATAATTGAAAGGTATATTACGATCTCAATGAAAATGACAGATTCATAATAAGCAGTGTTATATATTCTAAGCATTTATTTCCAGTTGTTGTATTTATTAAAAGAATAGTTTAATTCCTTTAATATTTCAGATATGCTAAAAGAATCATAACATATATTCATAGTAGAAAAGTGACAGAAATGTTTTGGGATGACACATTCATGAAACAGAGTGCTATCCAACAGACAGGTATTGGTACTTTGCATGAATAACGTAAGTCACAAAAGGTGATTCCAAAAAGACACAGACTGTTTACGGAGAACGGTAATGAAGCAAATCAAATGAAAGTTTAGTGGAAGGAAAAGGTATGGTACAAAAAGATGCATAAAAAACCTGTAACATAACTCTGGCTCTAGTTTTACACTCGGACTTGAGTTGCAGTTAAGCTGCAAAATAAAAAGTATTTAGCCTCTACTTTGACTCATGACTTGAGTTGAATGCCTGATCTGAGAGTTTAATCTAGAAACAGTTATTATTTCAAGCAGTATTGTGAGCTCCAGCGTGCATTTGCTTTGCATGTTTGACTGTGAAAAGATTAACCTGGTTAGCCAATGATGGAGAATAATGAGATGATAGTGCATGCAACAATCTGTCCATATTAGTTGTAGTTGTAGTCCTTTCCACCTAAAAATGTCAAAATAAAAGCACTTCCTAAGCATATCAGAAGTTTTTCCTGTCTTTTATACTGTACGTAATATCTCAGATTCAAATGTATTTACTAGAAAAATTTGAGAAGAACTGTTTGAGATGTGGATTTAAAAAGTAACTGTCAATTTTGTACAAAAAAATCAAGCTCAGAGTGAAGAGAAAAAGAAATTCTTCAATCTATATTTGGTGCAATTTGAAATGTTCAAATGTTTTTATTGGAGTTTGAATTGTACATACAAAATAACAACCAAAAACTCAAAATAATAAAAATGGATAGATTAATATCGACATGTTACAGCAGGATTACAGAGCCTAGGATTCAATTATATCCCGGTGTTTCCAGCAGGTAATTGTAACTGAATTTAAAAATGGCTGCCAGACCTCATTGTCGTGATCTTGGTGCTGATGACTGGCTCTTTAATCATTTAATTCACCTGCCTAACTCATCTAGTCCACCTGCTTCTATTTAACCAGTGCTGTAACCAGTCATCAGTGCCAGATTATTCTAGAACGAGTAGGGAGATTGTTCCAGCGTTACGTAAGTGGTTCTGATTACCTGATCCTGACCTGTTCTGAGCTTGCCTGTTCCCATTTTATCTGTTTGCCTGATTTGTCTTTGGACTCCTGCTGCATTCTGGCTGTTAACTGAACTTGGAGCTGCTTCCTGTCACCAACCTGGATTTGCCTTCAGAACCTCTTCGGACTTCTGATCCCCTGGCTCTGAATCCTGAGCACATCCTTGGCAGCAGCTTTGGCTTTGCCCTCTGGATTATCCTGCTATTCTTCGTCTGCCTGGATCTGATCTCCTGCTTGTTTTCTTTCCTCCAGGGCTGGGGCGTCTGGAACTCTCTGGGCGGCATTCGCCAAGTCTTGCTGACAGCCGACCACTTGGAATCTACCTTATCCTCAGGGCACAGGCTCAACATTAAGACCAGGTTAGTGACTCACATATTCATAATCTTCCTCCTCCAGATTTATGTGGTCACTATCTTGTAGTTCCTTCCTGCAGAGGTTCCTGACTTAGATGCCCTAGCTGCTCACTGCATATCCGATGTTTTTAAATAAACGCTTTTTGCTGTCTATCTGCCTTGAGTACTAACTCCCCTGTTCTGAGCTCTGACACTTATAGAACCTCTGGTTGATCCCCTGGTCATGTGCTTCATTTTCTCAAGTTTTAAGTGTGTCCTTACATCCTCAACCCATCGCATTTGTGTGGGAGGCCTCCTCTCTGACTTCCAGAACAAGATGCGAGGTCAATTGAGATGAAAATGACTGTGCACCCGATATAACCATCCCTGCAAAGGTCACACCAAATATAGCAATTTCTTGGGGGCAGGGCTTATCTCTCTGTCACAAATGTAAGACAATGTGTCAAAAATTAAAGACCAGAACTATATTTACTTTGGGCACGCCCAGAACATATGATGGAGGGTAGCTGGAGCCTGAGAGCATCGGGAGCAAGTCGGATCGAATTCTGGATATATCCTGGCAAGTCTGCTCTTGGACAGATGAACCTTGCCTACTTAAAACTGGAGCAAACTTCGTCTAATACAAATCATAGTTGAATGTATTCTCTTATTTGCACTTTGCCAGAAGCTGTCCGATACCTCACATCCCAGTTCCTCTTCCCACCCTGCCTTAATAAGACTAAGTGACGGTGAAGTAATCTTCTGGTTATCCTTATATAACCTGCTCACTCTGGTGTAATCTAAAATAAAGGAGAAAAAATGTGAGTGATAAAGAACTTAGTCTTACAAAGACAACAAAAAATGGATTCATTCAGATGTTAATCGTTAGCAAGTTTTTCTTTAGAGCTGGAATTTTTATTAATATTACTAGGAATAAAGATATATTTGAAAATGAATGTCCATTAGTAGAAAAAACAAACTTTATAATTATGAAGATCATACGATTAATTGAAAGCTAAATCAATGTAAAGTGATAATTCAGGTGTAGGGACAAAATAAGCTGTGGCAATGCAGGATTAGAGCTACACTTGATCTCTTTGATTTGATATAAAAATGTTTATTCCTGTTTTTAGAGACGTAGGGGTTGGCTGACATGGAGCGAATCCATTAGACTTGCATAAATTATTTGTTTTTGCTGTTTTTTTTCTCCATGTGAAAAAAAAAACAGCACAAACATTGACAGTGTTTGGCTTTCGTACAAATTCCTACAACTTGTTTTCCTTATCAAGAGGACAGGATGTAAGGAGCTGCCTGCCAGCGATTCAACACCTGGATGTTTATCCTGAGTATTAGTCCCTAACCTCCTTATAACCACATGATTTGAAAAAAATATTCCAACTATTTACATTAAGGAGAGAGGTTTTGCTGGTTATGGGTTTGTTATGCTGGAAACGTATCTAAACGCACAATTTTACTTTCCACCAAAATCCTATCTGCAATAATAGATATGTGCTACATAGAAATAAGTCTTTATATTTGGATCGCGGGATGGAAAAGGGCATTTGGTCTATAAGAGATTTTTTAAATGACAATGGAGGTTGGCTGTCCTATGAGGATTTTTGCTTACATGTAATTTAAACTGCTCCTAAGCTCAGTTTAACACTGGCAGCAAACACGTGCTGTGCGCTATTCCTGAAGACTTCGAATACAACTTTGTGGAATCAACTTCTAGTCATGACAGTGCAGGAGACCCTATTTTGCAGGTCTGCATTGAAGGGTCCTGACAGTGCAGTTCTGGGTCCTGACAGTGCAGGTCTGCAGCCAGACTCTCTTGCCATTAAGGCGTCCTTTCACATCAATCATCAGCATTTGCTGAAATACTCACCTAGATTCCATCAAATCCATCCGTCTCCATCTGTACTGCTCAACTCTTTGGATTATCCTCTGACACCACACAGACCCTGCATAATCTCAAACCTCTTCTCCCCTCCTATCAAGTCATTTCCCTGACCTCTTATTTCTGCAAAGATCCTCACCTCTTCATTCCTGCAGGCTAAACCTCCTGGGAGAACTGAAAACCAGTTAAGCTCAATGCCAGCAGCAGCAATAGAACCCTATGTAAAACATCCTGCTTCTCGTGACAATTTCTCCACTCGGGGCGCAGTCTTTTAGAGATTATGACTGACAGGCATATCTTTGAGGAGGTCATTGCAACTTGGCCGACTTTACAATCACCTCTGACATTCCCTCTGGGTTTTCAACCCCTTCCTCTTGTGATGAACTACTCCAAAGACAACAAAGACTGACTGCCCTCTGAAGTGTTTCTGTTCTACTAGTAAAGAAACTTCCTCAAGGCCAGCAAAAACTGGACCACTTGGGGAATCCAAATGACTCCAGAGTATATATTTGGCAGGATGTTACTTAGATTCTTGCCGCCCCTTTGAGGATGTGTTGATAAATCCATTAAGGAGTGAAGTGTGTCCAGTGTCAGCAGTTCTTTTTCTTTGTTTTCTTACATAAAGCTGTTTTAGCTGGAGGGGATGCCATCAAAACAAAGCCATGCATCCATGGAATAAAGATGACTTCAAAGAAATATGAATATTGACTGAAAAAAAAATATTTTGCAAACTTGTGGCAACTTGTAACTCTAGTCTGCAGCCCTCAGACGCAAAGGAATTCAAAAGAGGTAAAAGTAGAAATAAAGAGATGTAAAAAGATCCATCTAGAATGTTGTGTGAACGAAGCAAATGACCCCAAACCATGAAGCCAAACTCTGCCTTACCTCACACATTGCCTGAACCCAAAAAAACAAGATGCGGAGACAAAGAGCCAGGCGATGGCAGTTGATGAGTACCGCCACAAAAATGCAGCTTAATTGAAAACACAGATTGAAAGCAAGAAAGAGCTTGCAGGTTGGAGTATAATGACACCTGATAAGGAATATGAGACAATCAAAACACATTATCTTTGAAGAAAACAGTGAAGATAAAGTACAGGCTTGCTATTTCTTTTACATTCCAAACAATTATATATTTTACATTTAAATGATTCTACCTGTTACACAGTGAAATAGCGGGTTAGATGTTTTGTTCTGCTGGAAGGCAAACCTCCGACCCCGTCTCAAAGAGACTTGCCATCTTCCCATCATCTCTGATGTTCTTGGCTGTCACTGCGTGAGACAAGCATCCCCTACCCTTACTTTCCACCCCCGAATAACACAAAAATGGAAAAAAAAAACAATGAAAACTGAAAGAGAAAACTTAAACGGAACCAAAACCATGACATACACTGGTTTCCATGTAAGGATTATCCAAGAGAAGAGTTTGAATTCTAATAAATCTGATGCGAACACACAAAAACTAGGTGTGCTTTTGTGACGATTTAAACACATAAAATCTAAAGAAAACACATTTTGGTTACTTTTCGGCAAGTTAAAAAGGGCTCTTTGTATTGGCCCTTTTCAAAATGTATGTACTTTATGTAACAAATCCTACTGTGCAAGTATGTCAAGAACCTTTAATATATATTTTATCATGTTCGGTGAGTCTCACAGTGACTACAGATTTTGGTCTCATTGTGTCCCGTCTGTGTTTTCCTCTGGGAGGATGTGTGACAGGAAACAGTAACTGGTGTGAATTTCTTGCAAGGTTTGGGCAGATACTTCCTGAACCAAACCATGCCAGCTTAGAGTCTAGACCATCGTGAGAAAGGCAGCCAGAGGCATCCTTTCAAAGATGAAAACAATCGGAGATTCATAAACTACAAAATAGAGTTGAAGCTAGATATTTATCCAAGCTGTACTCATATTTTATGAGGACTTCCATGTTTTAGGTTAGTTAGTATTAGTATAGTATTAGTATTTAGTGTATGGCTTTAGCTATACTTTCTCCTTCTGGGTGGATAATAGAAAAAATTGAAAGAAATATCAATTAGAACATTTTCTGATTTGTCCTTAAACTGAAATTGTGTTCAACAAGCATTTCAGAAAGAGACAGCTTCTGTGTCCTACTTGCTTTTGTTCAAATAAGGCGTTTCTCAATGATTTGTTCTTATTGATTTGCTTAATAAAGAATGATTCTCAAGCTTTAGATGGCTGAGATGAAAAACAGCTCCTCTGAGAAGCAGAGATGAGAAAGATTAAAGATCACAGGAGAAACGTTGCGGGCTGCAAAACAATGTTGGAGGAGAGAAGGAGCTGGGGAGAAGCAAGGGCTTCCCTGAGAAAGCACAGCTGACGGTGCGATTCTCCAGCTCCCTCATGACAAGCCTGACCACATCAACCCGTTGACTTTATATTTAAGCCGCCTGAAGTTCGGGCCCACACACACTTCTAGCCCTCTGTACAGCAATGTGCTTCGGCTGAGTGTGAATCTCTGATTCAAAGGCATATAACCACATATTCTATCACTATGTTCTTTGGCTTTTGATTCAGCTTATTTTGCAGTAAAGTCAAGCAAAATGGTTTTAGTGATACTGTGAGTGTGCACACTGAGGAGTTCGCTGCTGCTAATTAAACTTGGCATCTTTCTTCAAAAGGGAAATGAAAATTTGAAAATCTGCTTGACTCTTTTGGACTTTCTCTCTTTAAAAAGTTATAGATTTTTGCCCCGGGACAAAAAAAAAAGACCTTGTGCCAAACTGAAAATAAAAACAATCTCTAATTAGTGAGCTGGCAAAACTGAAAGAGGTCCGTCCCATTTAGGAATTTGCCACAGATATGAGTCATGTCATGCTAGAGAGACAGCGAAGTAGCTGTCAAGCCTTCACAACAGAAGGACTCTGGAAAGACTATAGAGAACATCAGATCAGGGGGTCTGCAACCTGTGGCCCTGGAGGTTGATGTGACTCTTTGGAGTAGACCCTCTACAAAGGCTCTTAAAGGTATAGAAAATGATCCTTTATATCTGGGTGGATCATCTAAATAAGTGGTCCTCCTAATTGTCAATCATTCTGGTGATATGTTTACATAGGGTAATCCTACATGATAGTACCGTTAGCTATCTTTTTCTGCACATGCGCATTTTCAGGC